AAAAAAAAAAAAAAAAAATTAACATGCTTCTAATAACAACTTTCGCACTTTATATGTTTTAAAGTGATGATAATACTATATGTGACAAAATTGAATTAGTGACAAAAATGAATTGGAGAAACAACAATAGACAAAATTGAATTAGTGACAAAAATGAATTAAAGAATGTACGTAGATATTTGTAATTTGATTGTATTCTTGAATTTGGTCGTCCTATTATTCAGAAAGTTTAATCATTTTTCTATTATCTCTCATTCCACTGTTTAATTTGCTATATCTTCGTAACAAGCAAGCTCCTACTTGATGTATAAAATATATTTAAAGGACAAAAAATGCTCTATCTTAAAAAAAGTATATAAAAAAAATATTACTTTAATTAATAGGAAAATATCAACAATTAATGCAATATTACATTATCATGCAATCATATTCAATTAGTATATAATACTATTACTATGTGTTTTAGGGTTATTTTTTGCTTAAAAAAATAGTGAATGAGTTGACCAGAAAAACTAATTTAGTAAAGTGAATTTTATTAATAATAAATAAAAATCTCTTAATTTTGTGAAGTTCGATTATAATTGTGGTCAGAATATATTATTGCCAAAATAACTTTTATATTGACTTGAAAACTAATATTTAAAATTCCCATACTATCTATAGTAAATACAATTAAACCTATATATGGAGAGATAGATTACCTAGTCCTAGTGTAAACAATAATATTAATGTTAGTCGGTTAGGCGATCATATTTGTCCAATAAATATGGAAACCTTTAAATTAAAATGACATATTAAAAATATATATATATACACTAAAAGTCTACTCTTATGATCTTATCCCTCCGTTCTTGAATAATTTTTGTTGTAGTTTAAAATTTTAGAATTACTAATTTAACGGGTGAGGTATCTTTTATCTCTAATATATTATTATTATTATTATTATTATTATTATTATTATTATTATTATTATTATTATTATTATTATTTGTCTCTCGCGGATAGTTATAACTTATAAATACAACAGTTATTCTGAAATAAAGAAGTGTCATTTTATAGAATTAGTAATTATGTTTATAAGAAAAGTAACCCATAAATCAAATAATACAAATATTGGTGTTGTCCTTCAATCTCTCTACATACAACCTAATAATAAATTCATTTGCTTATTCTCTTGCATAACTTCAGGATCTCATAATCCAATATTTTAAAAATTAATCAGCAACTTGCAAATATCAATCCATATGATTGTATTATATGAGTGCATGAAGCACGACCCTATATTATACTATTTGATTTAAAGGAGATGCTACGGTTCCGTTACAGAATCATTATGTCAGAATTTGTAATCGTTGGATCATCATATAATCGTTAATGATAGTTGATCTAAAAGATACAAACATCGACAGAATGATTCCGTAAAAGACCGTAGCATTTCTCTTGATTTAGAGAGCATTTACTATATTCCAACTGATATCTAGATGATCTAAAAATAATAATATAATAAGACCAACTTTCACAAATTTCCCGCTAAAATTTCCAATGAAGGCTACCACAAATTGGATCGAATTTATCCAAAGTCCCATAGTCTTCTCATTAACTTTCAATAAATGTCGAATTTTGGAAAACAACATTAAATATGGATATACTAGGAAAAGAGCATTCAATATACATTTCAAATTGGTCCTACTAGGCTCGATTCTGGATTAGTCGGTTCTCATGTGGATCCAGAAACCAGAAGGTCTATGTACCAAAAAAAATATATATATACATTTCAAATATTATTTTCCAGATTACTCTCTCCCAAGGCCAAAATAGGGAAAAAAAAAGTGGCACAAAAATGGCGTGTAAACTCAATCAAATTTTTTAGAATAAAAATTACTTCGATAGTATTATATAAATTTTAACATGATTCATATTTTATGTACCCACGCAGTCTAGCTAACAAAAATGTCAACGAAATATTAAAAAAAAAAAAAAAATAGACCTTTTCAGATTTCTTTAAAACTCCGATGATAATCATCACATTCAAGCTCTTCAAAATTCTCTACCAGCAGAGTTGATCCCAACATCTCAAAAAATGGCGTCCGATCAACCGATTATATGCCCGCACAAACCGAAGCCGCGCGCCGCCGTGAAAGCGACTTGCAGGGTCCTCGCCGTCGTTTTCCTCAGCCTCCTTCTTCCCCTTTCTGTCCTCCTCCTCGCCCGCCTCTCAATTGCCCGCTACTTACTATCAATCTCCGGCGATAAAACGACGTGGGCCCTCAATTTACTCGTTTTTCTAGTGGCATTTTCAGCTCTCGTCCACTGCTTGACCGGATCTAATCCGGCGTTGCTCATCGGCGAACGGCGTCGCATTTGCGCCGCGTGGGCTCTGCTTTTTCTGATGCAGGCTTGTCTGAGTTTGGGGATTCGGGGGACAATCGACGCTGAAATTAACAGCTCCGCAGAGGGTAATAATTGGGTTTTGCTGAAGAGATTTCTCTTCGCTCTTG